CTGCCACCCCTAACGCTACCACCCCGACCACCCGCAACCCTAACACAAACCCAAACCCTACCCCAAAACAGTACTCAGTTCTCAATATTCTCTACTCACTACCCACTATTCACGACTCGCTACTCACTACTCACTTCTCACTACTCACTGCCCACTACTCGCGATTCACTACTCACTACCCACTACTCACTACCCACTACCCACTACTCACTACTCATTAGTCACTACCCACTACCCACTACCCACTACTCACTACTCCCAACTCACTAGTCACTACTCGCTAGTCACTACCCACTACTCAATACTCACTACTCACAAAACACGACTCACTACCCACTACTCGCTACCCACACTAAATCACTACTCACTACCCACTAACCACGATCCACTCACTACTGAGTACTCACAATTCACTACTCACTTCTCACTGCCCACAACTCACTACTCACTATCCGCTGCTCGCTACTCGCTACTCCCTACTCCTTACACAATAACCACTGCTGGCTATTCAGCACCCACTACTCACTACTCCCTACTCGCTGCCCGATACGCAATATCCACTACCCGCTACGCACTACTCACTACTCACTGCTCCCTACTCCCTACTCACTAGTCACTAGTCACAAGCCACTACTCACTACTCATTAAACACTACTCACTACTCTCTACTCGCTACTCCATACGCACTACCCACTTCTCACTTTTCACTACCCACTACTCACTACTCCCGCCAAGGGGGGGGGGTCCGGACCGTCCCCCCCCGACTTCAAGGGGGGGGGAGGGGGGTTCGGACCCTTTCCCCGACTTCAAGGGGGGGAGGGGGGGGGTCGAAAATCTCCCCCCCTTTGAAGTGGGGGAGGGGTGATCCAGTGGCGTTCTTTCGAAATGAACCGTTGTAGGGGCCTACGAAGAGGGAGCTTGGAGGAAGGGTTAATTCCAACATCGTTGATGACTCTTGGGTTTCCACTGGTCCTCCTCCTCCTCCTCCTCCTCCTCCTCCTCCTCCTCCTCCTCCTCCTCCTCCCCTCCTCCTCCTCCTCCTCCTCCTCCCCCCCCCTCCCCCTCCTCCTCCTCCTCCTCCTCCTCCGCCTCCTCCTCCTCCTCCTCCTCCTTCTCCTCCTCCTCCTCCTCCCCCCTCCCTCCCAGCGCCTCCAGGCCAGAGCCCAGCCAGGGGCCCCCCCATCGCCTCCAGGCCAGAGCCAGAGGCTGCCGCTATCTGCGCTCCCAGACGGGGCCCTGTAGCGAATCCGGCCGCGGCGACACGCGCAGTGTCCCCAGACATGCGACGACGTGGTCTCTGCAAGCGCCCGTCCCACGTGAGGTCCAGGCAGTTCGTCGTCCCAGATCCATGCTTGATCGTCTGGCGCCAGGCCCCGACTTCGGGGACCGTACGAAACGCAGGAACTGAACAACACGCATCATCGTCGGAGACCTGGGAAGGGCGGAAGCGAGGGAACGGCATTGGGGAAACCATAAAGCACCGATACCATCACTCCCCAGACCTCTCCTAGGGTGCGCTCTGACTAGAATTTCGAGGCGAATCCAGCTGTGGCGACGAGGGCCTCACAAAAGGCCGAAACAGAGGAAATCTGGTGAAGGGTAGCGGTATGGGTACCTTAGCCGCTCCGATACGCAACACGCAGCCCGTAGCGTGTTGACACGGAGCTCAACACACAGATTGAACACGTGCGTTTGGCGCGATACGTTTGCCCAACTCGTGTGCCAACATGTTGACCCAACACGCAGCGTGTTGACACGGACGTTTTGAACACGGTGCATGTTGCGTTGCAAGACGGGCGTATTGGAGCAGCTAAGATGGGTACCTTTTCCTCCTCTGAGGTATCGGTGTGGGTGTCGGCATGCGTTTTGGTCTGAGAGCCAGGGTGCTCCGGCAGCGGCGGGAGCATCCCAGAGAGCTGCGGCCGGGATGCGGGGAGGGAGCAGCAGGGGCTTTCGAGTTGATGTGATCGGCGCACCGCCGCAGAGTGCCGAGCGAACGGTGTGAGCCCAGCACCCAGGGGTGCAAGGTGAGGCTTGAGCCAAATCGCACGGACGTGCCGCTGTAGGCGTTTTTTTTCCATGTTCTTGGCTTCGACACCTGGCCGAGGGGTGGATAAGTCGGAATGGGGGGGGTCCCACTCTGGGCAGGTGCATGGTCGATCTGCGTCTTCCAGTCGCGCAAGCAGACTAAGGGGAGGGACCCTGACCAGTCGCCGAGAGCAGCTGCCCAAAGCAGCCAAGATCTGGTCCGCGGAGGAGGGGCGAGGGGGGGGCAGAGGTCTGCGACGGTCGGCGAAGCAATGAAACAACAAGCGGCGACGCTCGAACTCGAGGCTCGAATGGGACGATTCTGAATCTCCGATGGTCATGCTCACTCCGCGCTCGACTGCACTTTGCGATCGCACTGCTACCCATGCGGTTTGGCAGCTCCACTAACATGTTGAAGGCGCCTTCAGCCCGGGCTTGTGATCTAGAGCATGTCTGAGATTACAGAGCCCTTGTCCAGCGGCTTAGGTTGGCCCAGCTCGGACAACGCTGTAATGCTAATCCCTTAGTCGATGCAAATCCCGAAATCTGAAGCGCATCGTACACCACAAAGTCCCCCGCACCCCCCCCGAGCGATTCTGAGGAGGAGGAGGAGCAGGAGGAGGAGGAGGAGGAGCAGGAGGAGGACTACCTGCAACTCGTGCACGGGGCGCTTCGCTTCCCGAGAGGCTGCACGGCACGTGCTCGGCTCGAGACCACAGCTCGCCAATGGGCAGCCCGTTCAAGCGAGGGGTTTTCTTGCTCAGAGAGGGCTGGTCGAGGAGACGCATCTGGGGCGCACCCACGAGGGGCAGGCAGGGGGCGGGCCCTCTCAGAAGGCTCAAATGGCCTTCTGAGATGCTTCCCAAGCCTCCTCCTCCTCCTCCTCCTCTCCTCCTCCTCCTCTCCCCTCCACCTCCTCCTCCTCCTCCCTCCTCCTCCTCCTCCTCCCTCCTCCTCCTCCTCCTCCTCCTCCTCCTCCTCCTCCTCCTCCCTCCTCCTCCCTTCCTCCCCTCCCTCCCTCCCTCCTCCCTCCCTCCCTCCCTCCCTCCCTCGAGGGGGGGGGGCCTGCCGCCGCTCGCTGCCCCCCCCTTAGACGCGCCGCCGACCACGGGCCGACGCTCGGGCCAGGTCCCGCGCGGACGCTGGGCCGGCTTTGCGCGTGCCACCCCGTGCGCTCGCAGCCGAGGGAGCGGGCGGCGCCCGGGGGGGGTCATAGACGGGGGGGGGGGGGAGGAAACGGCCCCCTTTACTGCCCTTTTCGGGCCCCTCCGGAGCCCCAGGGGCTCGTTAGGGCACCGCTTGGGTGCCTTTGCGGACCACCCTCGCCACCCTCCCATTGATGACCCCCCCATTGCGCGACGCCCAGCAGCCGAGGGAGCGGGCGGCGCCGGGGGGGGGGGGGCCTCGGATCTCTGCGGCGCGCAGAGGGGGGGCACTCTGCCGTGATGGGAGATCGCCCAGTGTTTGACACGCTGGCGCAGTGTTGGCCGAGGGTGCCCCGAGGAAGAGGTCCGAACGGAGGCAGCCGACGAGACTCTGGGCCAAGGCGACGAGGCAAGGCTCCTCGATGGCCGGCGCAGCCGTGCTGAAAAACTTTGGGTGCGGATATGTGGGGAATCGGCCAGAACCCTTGCGCTGCGCAGTGAACGCGACGGCCCACAACTACTCCTCTGGAGCAGGAGGAGGTAGGGGAGGAGCGAGGAGGCAGGAGAAGGACGAAGAGTAGCACGGATGAGGACCATGTCGAGGAAACAATAATAAAAGGAGCCTCACGGGGATGACGCGTAGCCAGGAGTAGAGAAGAGGTGCGAGGGGGAAGAGGAAGCTGAGCATGAGAAGTAGGAATGAGTCGGAGCAAATATATGGACGGAGGCTGGCCGTACACACACATATACATATACATATATATATATATATATATAGATGGTACTATAAATATACATATATAAACATATACATACACATACACATATTCTCTCTCTCTATATATATATACATATGTAGACACAAGACTGCATTGGCGCTTCGCGCCCTGCACCTTGGTCCGTGGAGTTTCGGGACGAGGACAGAGTGGAAGGAAGGTAAAACTGAGAACTTAGCGATAACTCCGTGCTGTTTTTTTCCGACATCGTCGTTAAACGAATGCCAAGCATTAGCCTTCGTTCATATTTCCTCTTTAGCTTGTTATTTCTCGCCCTACCCTGCAAATTCTTCCCCATCATCTTCAGCTCTTGTTGTGAGACTCCTCATTGGAGAGCCTCTTAAGGGCATCACGAACAAATCAGGGCTTCTTCGGCCCTTCTGGAGGCCTCCTGGGCGCCATTTTGGGGCCCGTGGGGGTTTCCTCGGACCACGCCACCTAAACGCGTTGCTGTACCAGGAATCCCAGAAGCTTGCTTGGTTGGCGAACGAGCCCGAGTGCTGGTTTGGTTGCCTGCAATCCTTGTACCACGACCGCGTTGACTTTTTACGCTATGACCCACCTGAGGTGCAAGGCAACATCTTGCCGTTGCCTCCATGGCGCGAATCAGCCACGGGAGGGCCCATTAAGTAGAAAAGGGAATCATTCCATGCGTTGACCCCTGCAACGAGAGAATCTCAAGCGAGCGCAACGGAATCTTGGCACAGCCAAGGGAACAATCTGCCGACTTGAACCAAAATGGCTACAGAGGCGGACGAGGAGGAGAAGGAGGAGGATGACGAGGAGAAGGAGGAGGTGGATGAGGAGGAACATGCGGAGGAAGAGAGAGAGAGAGAGAGGCGAAGGAGGAGGAGGAGGAGGAGGAGGAGGAGGAGGAGGAAGATGAGGAGGAGGAAAGAGGAGGAGGAAGGAGAGGAGGAGAAGAGGAGGAGGAGGAGGAGGAGGAGGAGGAAGCAAGGAGAGACGACGAGAGAGGCGGAGGAAGATGGGGAAGACGCGGCTCGCGCAGGCTCCCTCCCTCCCACCCGGCGCTCGCACCGCCGCGCTCGCGCCTGGGGGCTGGCGCGGTCCACGGGCGAGCCAGCCACGGAGGACGGGGGGTTCACCTGGATTGCAAGTGGGGAGAGAGAGAGAGAACAAAACAAAAAGTTGGGGAGGAGGAGGAGGAGGAGGAGGAGGAGGAGGAGGCTGATGATGATGATGCTGATGATGATGATGATGATGATGATGATGATGATATGATAATGAATGATCATGATGATATGATGATGATGATGATGATGATGAATGATGATGATGATGATGATGATGATGATGATGATGATGAGGATGAGGAAGAGGAAGGATGAGGAGGGGGCCGGGGAGGAGCAGGAGGAGCAGGAGGAGTAGGAGGAGTAGGAGGAGGAAGAGGAGGAGGAAGAGGAGGAGAGGCAGCACCCACTGGTACAGGATGCCACCAGGACCCAGGAACCAGGAGGTGGAGGAGGAGGAGAAGGAGGAGGAGGAGGAGGAGGAGGAGGAACAGAAACAGGAACAGGAAGAGGAACAGGGAGGAGAAGGATGAGAGACAGCCCACAGACTTGGCTGGACCGGGGCGGTATCTGCCACAATAGGGCACAACGTTGCGCATCAGCGCAAGGGCATAAATGCGTGAGGGGATGCGGGAACAAACAAGGGACCATCCTCCGGCCCCCTTTTACAGGCGAACCTCCAATAGCGCCGCACACGCGCGCCTGAGGAGGGAAACCATAAAAGGGGGCAACAACCCAACACCCCCAGACACAACGGAGCGGTTGCCCAGCGCCCGACCCCTGCATGCACGCCTCACATCACTGTTCCTCCAGCGCGAGCCCCAAGCCCAGGCAGGCAGCGGGCATCAGCCAGGGGGGTGCCCGACAGCGCATCAGCGCGGCACCTCGGCATCAGCCGCGACAGGATACGAACCCGACTCTTCGGCGAAGGACCAAACCTGGCCAAGAGGACCCGGGAGGGGTTGGGGGGGGAGGGCAGGGCCTCCGGCCAAGGGTGCGCACAACGTCCACCCCTGGGCTCTTCAACCCACGGGCCGTGCAGCCCTCGCTTTCTGAGGGTCCGAAGGGGAGGAGGTGGAGGGGAGGGGCCTCCTAGCTCACACCATAACAGCGATCGCCCCTAGGAGGGGGAGGGAGGGGGAGGGGACACGCCCCAGCCCAAATGGGATCATCGGCAGTACACCTCATTCAGGAGGTGCCACACGGCGCCGAGGGTGCAGCGCTTGGCCGAAGAGGAGGGGTAGGAGGAGGAAGAGTAGGAGTAGGAGTAGGAGTAGGAGTAGGAGTAGGAGTAGGAGTATGAGTATGAGTAGGAGTAGGAGTAGGAGTAGGAGTAGGAGTAGTAGGAGGAGGAGGAGGAGGAGGAGGAGGAGGAGGAGGGCCAGGAGGAGGAGGAGGGCCAGGAGGAGGAGGAGGGGGGGAGGATAAGAAGGAAGGGGAGGGAGGGATGAGAAGAGAGGAGCAGCCGCGGGGGCTAGGGCACAGAAATGGGGGGCATCTGCAAGGGATGCGGGAGGCAAAGAGAGAGGATGAGCAACCTGAAGACGAGGATAATGACGAAGAAAAGGATTTGTTTAACATCGACGCGGGTGTAGCCACGATACAATAGGGGGATACGATGTCCTCCTCCTCTCCTCTTCCTCTCCTCCTCCTCCTCCTCCTCCTCGTCTCCTCCTCCTCCTCCTCCTCCTCGTACCTCCTCCTCCTCCTCTTTCCTCCTCCTCCTCCTCCTCCTCCCCCTCCCTCCTCCTCCTCCTCCTCCTCCTCCTCCTCCTCCTCCTCCCCCTCCTCCTCCTCCCCTCCTCCTCCTCCTCCGCTGGCCTCCTCCTCCCTCCTTCCTCTCTCTCCTCCTCCTCCTCCCTCCTCTCCTCCTCCTTTCCTTCCTCTCCTCCTCCTCCTCCTCACTCCTCCTCCCTCCCCCTCCCCCCCTCCTCCCTCTCTCCTCCCCCTCCTCCTCCCTTACCTCCTCCCCTCCTCCTCCTCTCCTCCCTCCTCTCCTCCTACTCCCCCTCTCCTCCTCCTCCTTCCTCTCCTCCGCCTCCTCCTCCTCCTCCGGCTAGCTCCTCCTCCTCCTCCGGCTGCTCTCCTCCTCCTCCTCCTCCTCCTCCCTCCTCCTCCTCCTCCTCCTCCTCCTCCTCCTCCCTGCTCCTCCTCTAAAATTACTCAATATGAGTACTACTCTCCCTCTTCCCCTGATGATGGTTTGAAAGTGCTCGACCCCCCCCGCGTATTGTTTTTTACACACAGGTTTCCCCAGAGTTGGGTTTTCGCCTGCATTTGTTTCAAAATGCTGCTCTCGCTGAGGCGCCGGCCTCATTTTCGGGCCCCGCTCGTTCCGAATCGTGCTCCCGCTGCAGCGCTGGCCTCATGTTCCGTGCTTCCGCTCGTTCCGAATCGTGCTCCCGCTGCAGCGCTGGCCTCATTTCCGCGCTTCCGCTCGTTTCGACTCGTGCTCCCGCTGCAGCGCTGGCGTCATTTCCCGTGCCATGCCACGGCATGCAATGCAATGCTAGGTTGATACTACGCTTTGCGGTGCTCTTCTACGCCATGCCATGCCGTGCTCTACAATGCATCGCGTACCCTTTCGGGATCATTGCCCTGCTCGACATCCGACTGTGCGAGTAGAGAGGGGATCTGCGCCATGGTAAGGGATGGGAGGGAGGGGTAGGATGTCAGATGTGACGCGAGCGCACCTAGCTTGCGTCCTCCCCCTCCTCCTCCTCCTCCTCCTCCTCCTCCTCCTCCTTCTCCTACCCCTCCTCCTCCTCCTCCTCCTCCTCCTCCTCCTCCTCCTCGAGGTTTACCTCCGGGCTGCCGCACGCGGCCGGCCATGGGCGCTTCGCGGGCGTTCCGTGCGCGCTGGCCGGGCTGCTCCCGGGGTTTTCAAGCTGGCGGTCGCCCGTGGCTGCCCGTGGGCACCCGGTGGGTGCCCCGTGCGCTGGCTGCACCGCGCAGCTTGTAGCACGCAGCTTGCACCATGACCCAGAGGCGACGATAGGGGCGAGTAGCCCAGGGGAGGGCAATACATGTATCCAAGGGCGCCGATGATCTATGTCTTCGACAAGGCTCCCGGGCGAATGCGTGTAATGCCCGCCCCTGGGCTATTCGCCCCTATCGTCGCCTCCGAATGACCCACGTACTGCAGCTTCCAGCGCCTAGCGTTCACCACGCAGCCTGTGTCACATAGACTATGCATCAAAAGGCCTCTGCACCACGCAGCTTGCAGATCCACGGTGCGCTGGCTGCACCGCGTAGCTTGTAGCACGCAGCGTGCACCTTGTCCCACGTCCAGTCAACCCGTATCATAAGGATGCGCGATGAGGATGCAAGGGCCTTGGAAGCCCATGTTGACGTTTTCCGAACGGTTTTGGCCAGCGAAAGTCGCTAAAGATTGGCCGGAGGGGCAAGGATGCAAGGGTACCCTTGGGAAGGTTGCCCATTCTTACTATGCGGGTTGACTGTACTGCAGCTTCCAGCGCATAGCTTTCACCACGCAGCCTGTGCCACATAGACTATGCATCAAAAGGCCTCTGCACCACGCAGCTTGCAGACCCACGGTGCCCAGGCTCACTGCTTGGGGCCCGCGCGAGCAGATTCTTCCAGAACGGAAGAAAGCGCGGAAGGCCCACCTTGATCCTGAAGGGCGCCCGCGGCGCCCCCGCCTGGGGCGACGGCTGCGCCGACGGCTGCGCCTCTGGCTGCGCCGCTGCCTGTGGCGTCGGCTGCGGTGGAGGGGCTGCCCCCCTCCCACCTCCTCGCAGGAAACCTCGATGTCATCGCCGCCGCCGTGGTCGCCGTCGCCGCCGCAGCCGCCGCCATCGGCGTCGTCGCCGCAGCCGCCGTCGTCGTCGTCGCTGCTGCCGCCAGTGCCTCTTTTGGCCTCCCCCTCGCAGAGGTCCGACCCGACCCCTCACTGCACCTCTCTAAGTGAGGAGCCGTGGGGCTCGTGGCCAGCGCTGGAGTGAGCAATCCACTCCCCCGTCTCCCTGGCGGGCCCCGCTGCCTTCCCCCGCTGAGCGGCAGCCTCTCCCGGAAGATCTCTTTCCCTGAAGACCAGCAGCCATTCCCTGAAGATCTCTGTCTTTCCCAACTCTCTCTCTCTCTCTCTTTCTCTCTCTCTCTCTCTTTCTCTCTCTCTCTCTCTCTCTCGCTCTGGAGATCTCCACCCTCCCCCTGGAAACTTCCTCCTTCGAGGGCCCCCCGAGGCCGCAACTAGCACAACACCTCCCGCCGTGACTTCTCCACGGCGTGAAAAAACTTGGGCCTCTTGCCCCTCCCGGGAGGCCAGGTGCCCGCAGCCGCCGACAGCGGAAGCCACTGCCCCCGCACCCGCGACGATGCCCGCGGGGGCCTCGGGGCTGGCGAGGTCCGCGGGAGAGCCCGTCGCGGAGGGCGGGGGGTTCACCTTGGCCGCTGGGGCGGGGAGGGGGGAAGGAGGAAGGAGGGCGAGACGAGGCGGGGCGGGAGGCAGGGGAGAGGAGGAAAAGGGAGGTGTGCGAGGGGGGGGGGGGGGGGGGGGGGCAGGAGGAGAGGGGAAGAGGAGAGGGGGGATGAGGAACGAGGGCGGACGGGAGCGGGAGGAGGGGGCGGGGGGAAGGGGGAGGGGGGAAGGGGGAGGGGGGGGGGAAGGAACAGGGAGGACAAACCAAAGGGAGAAAGGGCGTTGGGATGAGGCCACCGACGGCCCGCGACCGCGGGTCCAGAACACCAGCCTCTGAAAGCTGGTGCCCCGTCTGCCTCCACGGCCGATCGGCGTGGGGTTCGGGAGGAAGTAAGGGGGAAGCACAGCATCCAGCTACCTGCTGGCAGAACAGCCGTGGCCGCGAAACTTCTGCTCGGACCAAAATTAGGGGACAGAAAATCCACCCCGACAATAGCCACCCCGACACGCGAAGCCGTTTAGTAAACGCACCCAAAGAAGGAATCAACCAGGGCAGGGCTGTTTAGTAAACGCCCAGGGCCGCGTAGTAAGCGCCAATTGTCCGGTCCGGGTGGTTTGTCCTCCCTCGAAACAAGGCGGGCCGACGAAGAAAAACGGCCCAAGCAGATCGGAATGGGGAGACGAGGAGCCGAGGAGAGGAGGAAGGACGAACAAGGGGAGGACGACAGGGGGAGGGGGGGGACACGAGGAGCCGAGGAGAGGAAGGACGAACAGGGGGAGGGCGACGGGGGGGGGGGGAGGGGGACAAGGAGAGGAAGCCGAGCAGGGAGAGGACGGGGGGGGGCACGCGGCCCGCAAGAGAAAAGCAAGGGAACACGAGGGCAAGGGGGAAGGCAAGGAGAGGTAAGGAAACAAAGAGGAGCAGGAGGAGGAGGAGGAGGAGGAAGGAGGAGGAGCAGGAGGAGGAGGAGGAGGAGGAGGAGGAGGCGAGGAGAGGATTAGGAGCGGGCAGCCGAGAGCCAGAGCCAAAGCAAAACAAACGGCGGGCCGAGCGGCGCGCCCGTCCGTCGGAACATTTTGAAAAGTGTCGGCCTCCCAATCAAGTTCTTGAAAGCTGTCGGCTTCCCAAGCAGAAAGAGGATTCCACAGCGGCGCAACGGTCGCGCGCTGGGGGAAGAGGAGGAGGAGGAGGAGAAGGAGGAGGAGGAGGAGGAAGAGGAGGAGGAGGAGGCGCAGGAGGAGGAGAGGCGAGGAGCAGGGGAACAGAAAGCTCTTCGTGGCCCGCGGCCCACATATAGCCCGGCAGCCGACGCCCACGAAGCGCACGCCCCGCTCACGCTCGGCGCAGCGGTGCGCCCCCCAGGCCTCCGAGCTGTGTGAACGTCGCCGTCGGCGTCGTCGTCGTCGTCGTCGTCGTCGGCGTCGGCGTCGTCGTCGGCGTCGTCGTCGTCGTCGTCGGCGTCGTTGTCGTCGTGGTTGTCATCGTCGGCGTCGTCGTCGTCCACGTCGTCGTCGTCGTCGTGGTTGTCATCGTCGGCGTCGTCTTCGGCGTCGGCGTCGTCGTCTGGCGTCGTCGCTTCCTATTGCCGCAACGTCTCCCGCCATACCGCGGCTGGCCCCATGCCCTCTCCGCTCGCCACCGCCGCCGCCCGCGCGCGGACCTCGGCGCCCGCGCCCTCCGACACGCCGCCCCTTGCCTCGAGCGCGACAGGCCCAAACTGGAGGTCATGCTCGTGGCGTCGCTCTTCTGTCCGGTTGTGCTGCCGCGCCTGCGCGCCGCACGACCCGGCTGCGAGCCGCGACGCCGTCGCCGCGTCCGCTCAGCGCGACGGCCCTAGGGCGTTGGTGAAAACGAAATCGAGACACGGCCCTCGCTGCGCAGTTGCCGTCAAGCAGAATCCAGGCTAAGGTGATGCGAGGGACCACAAGCACCTTTGCCGGGCGGTGTTCTTCTGTTGCCAACCGTGCTTTCCGTGCCCTGGGGCCATCCCACAGCATTGGCGCCTCCAGCGTAATGCGCAACCCGCCGCGACCAGAGTAATCGCAGAAGGCGTTCCCAAACGCATTATGCACAAGCGTGGCGACCCCTTTCCGCTCACGCACGACAGACACTGCGTACCTTTCGCGTCCAACGGGGCGGCGCAGAGCGGGCAGGCGGTACCCTCATCCAACACAACGACACCGAGCAAGGTCGCGACGTTGTCTGCGAACCCGCCCGCGGAAAGATTCATGTCGAGTGTCCTGGATGGACTGAGGTCGTACCGAATCCGCTCCCTGCGCTGAGTATGCGGTCAAACGAACCCCGTCGGCTGGCTGGCCTCTCCTCGCGCCGTGCCTCGACCGCTTAGCCCCACTTCCTGCCTCCGAAATAAGCCTGGGTAAACTCCGCCCAGGTCGCCACCCCGATGGCGTCACGGCCCAAACTTGGCCGACGACGACGACGACGACGACGACGACGACGACGACGACGACGACGACGACGACGACGACGACGGAGGACTGGCCGAGGTAGAGTGGGGATGAAGGCTCGACGCATCGTCTACCTCCCCTAACGGTTGGACCACCGCGCTCTCCATAGGCGGCAGGGGCGCAGGCAGGACGGCGCCTGACAACGCCGCAACGTCAATGATTGGCGGCGGCCCGGGTCTGCGCTGGATGGGCTTGAACAAATCTGTACCTTGCACCCTAACCATCCGGCCGCCAGTGGTTCGGAGAAACAGCGCCCCGCGTCCCTCCTTCCTCCTTCCTCCCCACGCTCTTCCCTCCTTCCACCCCTGCCTATGCCGTCCGCATGTCCCCACTGCGCGTCCTCGCATGCGGTTCCCCGCCCTTTTCGGCACATCCCTCGAACGCTTCGGCATTGGTGGCCATCCTCGCATAGGGGTCGCCGCCCATTCTCGGTACACTCCTGACACGCTTCGTGGCCCCAAAGGAGCTCCACCTGAGGCCCCAATTGCTTTCCTCGCATGGGGCCCTCCGCCCATTCTCGGCACACCCCTGACACGTTTCGTGGCCCCCACAGAGAGCTCCACCGAAGGCCCCAGTGGCAGGCTTCGCATGCGGCTCCCCGCCCATTTCGGCACACCGCTCACATGTTCTGTTCCGTGGCCCCGCCGGGAGCTCCACCGAGGACGATCCTCAGAACTGCGGTACCCACAACCGCAGATGTCTGGGCCATTCGCCAGGATACTTCTTTGTTGATGGAGGGGGGGGGGGGGAATGGCAAAAAGGGGAGCGGACACCGAGATGAAGCTCCTCCTGCCGTGCACCGCGTCTGCTCCGAGGCCCCCGAGCACCGACGGGGGGCCCCTCGCTCGCCGCCCTCGGCAGCGGCGCCAGCGCGAGCCCCCCTGGGGCGCGCCGCCCAGCAGAGCGCAGCCCCCCCCCGGGGCACGCTCGCCTTCGGCGGCCGCTCTCCGACGGGCGGGGGGCGTCCCCCCGGCGCCGGCTGGCACGCGCGAGCGAGGCACCCGAAGCTCCGAGGGCACCGGGCCCCGCCGCCGCAGCAGTCCCCAGCGGCGTGGTCTGGGCCCCAGTGGCCGATCTGCGCCCCCCTGGAAGGGGGGATCTATGGGCCGTTCCCTTCGGGCCGCGAGGGGTGCATCCCCCAGCTGGGGTGGCAATCTGGTGGGGGCCTCGAAGGGGATGAGGATGGGGATGGGGGTCGGTCCAACGATACTGGTCCGCAGGAAGCCATTTTTGTCCTCGGACTCCTCCTCCACGGGGCCCCCGAGTGCATCCCCAGCTGGGGTGGTAATCTGGTGGGGGTCTCGAAGGGGATGAGGACGGGGATGGGGGTTGGTCCAACGATACTGGTCCGCAGGACGCCTTTTTTGTCCTCGGACTCCTCCTCCACGGGGCCCACGAGTGCAAACTCTCCGACCGTGGACCACAGGCGCCTCGCAGACCGGCCGTGCCGAAGAGCGCTGTCGAACAGAGGCCCTGCAGGAAGCACGAGGGGGAGGAGGGGGAGGAGGAGGAGGAGGAGGAGGAGGAGGAGGAGGAGGAGGAGGAGGAGGAGGAGGAGGAGGAGGAGCTCTGGCGCTCGGCCGACACCTGGCGCGCGGGCCCCCCAAAAGGCCCGGCCCGACTGGGCAGCCTCTCCGTCCCGCTCCCGCTCGCCGAACGGTCGCCCCGAGGTGCCGCGCACGAGACGCCCGTGAGGAGCAGCCATAACTCGCTTCTGGCGAAAGCCTGGAGCGTCGGGAAGAAGAGTCACATGGAGAGAACTCTCGCCCAGGGTGGGCCAGTCTTATGTTGCTCCCGTCGCACTTAAAGACCACATCCCAGAAATAGTTTCGAGTACCCAGAAAAGTGTCGAAAGAGTGTCGGAAGGGTGTCGAAACAGTGTCGGACGAGTGTCTCCCAGAGCCCGACACGTAACAACCTTCGAGTCTCAATACATGCTCGAAATTATCTCGGGTGATCATGGCTAAAGGAGGTTGGAGCATCATAAGGCTAGTCCTTCCCACCTCTCCCCAGCATCGCCCGGGGGGGCTGGCTGCTCGGGCGAAGGACTGCCGCCGTCGACCGCCCAGCGGGGAACTCCACGGCCGCCCCTGCGCGCACCGCTCCAGCGTCGCCTCGAACCCTCCGCGGGCCGTCCGCTGCCCGGGCCCCGCACCCAACCGGCTCGCCACCGTCACAGCACCCGAAGCGGCCGCGGGCGGCCAGCCCGCACCGAAGGGCCGCGCGCGGCACCGGACGGCACTGGCTCGCGGCGCGCACCCTTTCGCGCGGGGCCCCAGAGAGGCACGCGCAACGGGGCGAGCCCACCCCGGGAGGCCGCTGGTGCCTCCTTCGTGATGGCGCCCGCGGCTGGCCACGCGCCGCCCCTTCCCCCCCGCCACCGGTCACGTCGCGATTCGCGCCGGAGCCGTCTGGGAACTGGCCATTCTGGAGCATCCCCAGACGGCGCGTGCGCGAATCGCGACGTGACCAGCCGCGACCCCCCCCCCCCGGGTCTCGCCCATCATCGCCAGAGAAAAGAACGATCTCCAAGCATGCAAATGTTTGGATGGCAGCAGCGGTGGCCGCCAGGAGCATGTCCCGCCGGCACAGTTTGGGCCGCGAAGGAAGCGGAAGCCCAAGTCCGTCCCGGCGTTCAGTGTATAGGCCCCGAGACTTATCATCAGCCATCGCCTGAGCTGGTGGAGCTGGTAGGGTGCCAGGCCCAAAACATGGAATCCCCGCGGGGCAACGGCAGAAGGAACGCCCGCGACACTGGCGGCCTCCATGGGCGTGTTTCGTCTTTCGAGGGCCTCCTGGAGGCTTTGCGTCGCCACGGCTGCACCCGCCTTCAAAAACTGGTCAGGATGGACCCCGAGAGGGGACCGATTTTGAACGAATTTGGGCGGCGCGGGAGAGAGCCGCCGCCGTGTCGGCTGGCAGCGCGAGTCGGAGCTGGAGGAGGAGGCGAAGGAGGAGGCGCGACCAGCACGCGCGCTCGTAGTTCAACTGGGACCAGCAGCACCTCGCGAGGTCGCGCAGAGAGAGGCAACAGCGAGGCCAGGACGACTCTCGCCACGAGCATCACTGCGACTGGCACATCGGTGAGCTGTGCGAGAATGTGCAGCAACACGCACGTCAGCAATTCGACTGGCACCGGCAGCAGCACGCGCAGCAGTGCCAACGGGACCAGCAGCTGCACGGCCAGCAACGCCGTTGTGACCAGCACGTCTGGAAACATGAGCACCACTGCGATTAGCACGTCGATGGACATCGCCAGTGAGAGTAAGAGCACGCGCGTGTGGCAGCACTGCATGCAGCAGCACCAACGGGAACAGCACCGCCAGGACCGTCGCGTTGGTCGGCAGCAGGGGCGCGATCAGTGGCTCAGTTGCGGCTGGCCCGAGCGGGGCCAGCCACACCACTGCGGCGATCGTCGGCGGGGAGCGCGTGACGCGCGTAGCCGAGAAGCACCAACTACGCACGCGCATCAGCAATCGGACGAGGATCAGCGGCACCAAGCACCGAATCACCAGCGTGACAAGCGGCAACACCTTGGCCGCGCAGCAGGGACGCTACCAGGAGCACCAGGGTGACTGCGTCGCCTCGGACTTGCAGCGCAGTTGCGACCAAGACGTCCACAGGCTGTGCAGGCATGAGCAGCAAAACTCAGCACGACAACTCCAGCACATGTGTGAACGGCTTGGGCGCTACTGGCGGCACCAGTGTGACCGCCACGAGTCGGCCCGCAGCAGCGCTGTGACTTAGCACGTCGATGGTCATCTTGACCGAGGGCAGCAGTACTGGCGCCAGCAGAGCGACTGGTTCCAACAGCGCCGCAAGCAAAACTGCCACAACAACCATTGTAACCGGCACGTGAGCCACCAGCTCATACGCGACCAACAATGGCAACATGAACGTCATCATGCGGCAAGCAGCACCACTGCCGTGAGGTCGTCGATGGGCAGTGCGAGGGTGAGCTGCAGCCCGCAGGTCAGCTGCACGACTAGGGCCAGCACCGCCACTCGCAGCAGTGCCAGTGGGACCAGCATCGCGACTGGCCCCAACAGGACCACGCACGGGCAACAACATCAGCGGAACATGCAGCACAAACATGAGCGGCACGAGCGAGAGCAGCAACACAATCATTGTGATCAGTTGAATCACTGCGACCACTGAGCTGGTGAACAGCACTAAAGAGAATGGCAATGCCACGACTACCACCATGCCAGGGACCAGCAGAACTGCTGCGAGCAGCACGTCGGTAAGCAGTGCCAGCGAGAGCAGCAACACCAGCACTACCCCCACGACTGGGACCGAGAACACCGCCGCGACCGACAAGCCGTTGAGCAACATGTGCGAAGGTGGCAGCACGGGCGCGACTGGCACGACGGGGGAGCCTGCAACCTCAGCGCAGCCAGCAGCGTCACTTCAGCTGCGGCTGGTGGTTTCATCCTGCCCTCCTGCTCTCCTGCTCCGACTGCGTGTGGGGCGTCCAAGATTGTGACGTCCCAGAGGGGGGTTCGTGCGGACGAGGAGGGACCAGGGGGCGTCTTGAAAGAAGAGGAATCAGAAGGCGAGAACAAGAAAGGAAAACCAGAAGGGGCCACGACATCTGGGAGACTTTAAGGCCCGAGCCATGGTATCCCGCCAGGAGTTTCTCCCAGCTCTCAGAACTTTGACGCCGCGACCTTCTCCCAGCCTGGGCCCCCCAGAGGTTCAAGACCACTTCCCTGGGGCTGGGCCTTCGTCCGGAGCCGTTTCTCCACGGTCCTGGGCCCAGGGAGGGCCCCTGGAGACCGAGAGCGGGCCAACGCCTCCCGTCGCAGCGTCTCCCCACAGAGTGCTTGCACTTGGGGGTTCTTGCTTGAGGAGGCCGTTCCGCGCAGCCGAGCCGCCCGATGCCGCCTGGTTGCCGCCTCGTGGTCTGGGCGAGTCCGGCGGGGCCTCGCCACGCTGCCGCCCGCTGCGCGCGCCACGCAGCTTGCACCCCGCATCGCTTGCACACCACGCAGCCTGCACGCCCACAGTGCAGCAGCTTCCTGCTTGGGGTCCACGTCGGCTACAGTCGGACCTGGGCCAGAAGAGCATCCTCCCAAGAACATGAGACCCTCTGTCGGCCAGAACTCACAGAACATCCAACGGTACCCTCTCCCAGGATGCACAAGGACATCCAACAGACGCGAAGCACAACAGGGTACCCTCCCCGAACCAACCTCGACCTTGTACATCGGTCCGACCGCCCCGAGCCCGGCTGTTTTCGGGCCATAACTCGGCTGTCAGGCGGCCGTTCGGGACGATTCTGATACCCCGGGAACGCCCTCGGCGAGGCGCAGCTGCTGGAGAGCGCCCCGGGGCTGGGAAGCCGCCGAGAACCCACGAAAGTGCACGAAGACCTCGAACCCCCTCTCGAACCCTCCCCGAACCGGCCTCGATCTGTCACCTCATTTACGTAACATCTGCGCTCACAACGCGAGCAGGCATACTCGCCACCCGCTCGGCCGCCCACGCGGCCGCAGCCGCCAAGTTTCGCGCCCAGCGGCCGCGTCCCGCGGCCCCTCCACCGGGCACCGGGAGGAGGAGGAGGAGGGCGAGGACGAGGAGAGGAAGGAGGATGAGGAGGAGGAGGAGGAGGAGGAGGAGGAGGAGGAGGAGGGGGAGAGGAGGGGGAGGAGGAGAGGAGGAGGAGGAGGAGGAGGAGGAAGAGGAGGAGGAGAAGGAAGAGGAGGAGATGGCGGGGCGAGGAGGGCAGGCGGGGCAGGAGGGAGAGGGGGAGGCGAGGCCAAGGAGGGAGAGAGGAGAGCAGAAAAGCACGAGCAGAGGAGGAGGAAGAGGAGGAGGAGGAGGAGGAGAAGGAGGAGGAGGAGGAGGAGGAGAAGGCAGAAGCAGGGATCGCCTTGAACCTTGGCGGTGTGCGCGGCGCCTCTGCCTGGGGTGCCGGCTGTGCCTCTGCCTTGGGCGTCGGCTCTGGCGCTGCTTTGGGCGTCGGCTCCGACTCCGCCTGGTGGGTCAGGGGCGCTGCTGCTTGCCAGCCATGGTCACTCCTTTCTCCTCACCCCTCGCTCCTTCCCTCCCTCACACTCTTACCTTTTACCCCCATGAGAAGGAGGAGGAGGAGAAGGAGGAGGAGGAGGAGGAGGAGGAGGAGGAGGAGAAGGAGAAGGAGGAGGAGGAGAGGAGGAGAGGAGGAGGAGGAGGAGGAGGAGGAGAAGGAGGGAGGAGGAGGAGGAGGAGGAGGAGGAGGAGGAGGCAGAAGCAGGGATCGCCTTGACCGTGGGCGGTGTCCGCGGCGACTCTGCCTGGGGTGCCGGCTGCGCCTCTGCCTTGGGCGTCGGCTCTGGCGCTGCTTTGGGCGTCGGCTCCGGCTCTGCTTTGGGCGCCGGCTCCGACTCCGCCTGGCGGGGCAGGTGCGTTGCTGCTTGCCCGCCTTGTTCACTCCTTTCTCCTCACCCCTCGCTCCTTCCCTCCCTGAAACCCTCACCCTCCTGAGAAGGAGGAGGAGGAGGAGGAGGATTCAGGAAAAGCTGCGAGGAGTGACGGGAATGACGAGGATGAGGGTAGGAGGGGCAATTGGGAAGAAGGAGAGCGAGGAGGGAGGAGATGGGGAGATGAGGTGGGAGCAGGAGTGGAGAGTGCGGGGGCGGAAGATGAGGAGCACAAGCAGCAACCCTACCAGGGACACGCGGTCTCGGACTCGGACCTGCAAGTGTACGCCGACAGGGGCGCTGCAGGCGGGCGCAGTGGCGCCCTCGTGTGAGGGAAGAACGGCACTATAAAAAGATCAGACTCCCGGGTTCGGCGGTCTCTTCGCCGGTGGGCGGCGGGACATCACCACAACACCGTCAGGTCCCCGTGGGAACGGGATTGAGCGCCGTCGGTGGACCAGATAGCCAAAACACAGCAGTAGCACGCAGGTGTAATACTCGGAGGTGCAAGTCGTGCTGCTGCTGCTGCTGCTGCTGCTGCTGCTGCTGCTGGCCTCCCGCTTGCCCCCCTCGCATTCCCCCTCTTCTGCTTCCAGCCCTTCCCTCTCTCAATAGCCTCCTCGTCCCCTGCTGCTCCTCCTTCTCCCTGTTCCTCATCGTTCTCTTTCTCCTCCTCCAGCTCCACCCTCTGCTCCTGCTACGGGTCCCCCTGTCCTTGCTCCAACTTCCCCTCGCGTTCCTTCCGTTTCAAGCTGCTGTTCCTCCTCCTTCTCTTCCTGATCGTATTGCCAAATCCACCCTGTGCTCCTCCTCTGCACCATGCCCCTGTTCCTCCTCATTGTTCCTCCCCCCTTCTCCCCGCGTGCCCCTCCTCTCCACCTCTCCACTTCCCATTCCTTCCTCCTTCCCCTCCTGCTTCTCGGCCTCCTCAGCCTCCTTCTCCCCTCTCCTCCTCCCCAGCCTCCTGCTCCTACTTCTCCTATTCCTCCTCCTTTTCCTCATTCCGCCTCCTCTCCTCTCCTCTCCGCTCCTCTTCCTCTCATGTCCTCTCAGTCCTCATGCTTATCCCCCCTCCTTCCGCCTCTTTTCCTCCCCTTCAACCCTCCCCCTCTCCCTGCCCTCCTTCCATCGCTCCCTCTCTTCCGCCGCCCCCCGCCTTCCACCCACCCCCGCACCCTCCCCCTCCCCGCCTTGGTCCTCTGCGGCGAGCGGACTTTTGCCGCCAAGTCCGTGTTCTTCGTCAATTCCTTCTGGCATGTGCAAGGAATGAGGCGGGCAAATGGCAACCGCATGGGAGGGGAGGCGACGAAGAAGGATGAAGAGAAGGATGCAGAGGAGGAGGAGGAGGAGGAGGAGGAGGAGGAAGAGGACGATGAGGAGGAAAAGCGGAGGAGGAGGGGGCGGGAGGAAGAGACGGGCGAAAGAGGGAGAGGGAGGGGGAGGGGGAGGGGGAGGAGGAGGAGGAGGAGGAGAGAGGAGGAGGAGGAGGAGAGGGGAGGGAGGAGGAGGAGGTGGAGGAGGAGGAGGAGGAGGAGGAGGAGGACGATAATTGGGGAGGAGGCGGACGAGGATTGGGGAGAACGTTACAAGGAGGAAGGAGGGAGCGCGGGGGAGAGGAGGAGGATGAGGAGGAGGGGAGGGAGAGGAGGATTAAGTCGTTGGAATCCGCTGCTAACAACGCTGCGGTAAGGGGGAAGCGGAAAGAGGAGGAGGAGATGGCAATCAGTTCGGATAAGAGGAGGAGGATGAGGAGGAGGAGGAGGAGGAGGAGGCGGAGGAGGGGGATGGTGGACGAGGATTGGGAAAAAGGGTGAGAAAGGTGGGGAGAAGGGAGAGGGGGAGGAGAGGAGGAAAGGGAGAGGAAGAGGAGGAGGAGGAGAGAGAGAGAGAGAGAGGAGGAGGAGGAGGAGGAGGAGGAGGAGAGGGAGGAGGTTGGGAGAGGAGGTTTGGGGAAGGAGGTTGGCAGAGGAGGTTGACGAGGAGGGAGGGTGGAGGAGGGGAGGACACATCTGACGTCCTACCCCTCCCTCCCATCCCTTACCATGGCGTAGATCTCCTATCTGTTCGCACAGTCGGATGTCGAACAGGGCAATGATCCCAAGAGGGTACGCGATGGATGGAACAGCATGGCGTAGAAGAGCGCGGCAGAGCACAGCATGTCATAGCATGGCGTGGCATTGCGTAGTCAACCATTGCATCACAAAATATAGCAACGCAAAGCGTGGCATCGCACACCAGTGCACAACACAGCATCGCATCGCATGCCGTGGCATGGCACCAGATGCCTTGGAGGGTGAGTGGCCCGTCTACGAGAGGACAAGGCCTGCCTGGAATGCTGGCTCCATGTCCTCCGCAATCGTGGCTGGCCGATGTGGGCGCTCTCGAATGCCAAGTGCCGTCCGGAGGCGCGGGAACGAGGCCAGCGCTGCAGCGGGAACACGATTTCGAATGACCGAAGTGCGGAAATGAGGGCGGCGCTGCAGCGGGAACACCATTTGGGATGAACCAGAAACGACCGGATTGAACAATCACATAGGAAAAAAAAACAAGCAGTGAAAGCCTGTGCGTAAAAAACAATACGCGGAGAGGACGGGACACTCTCCGGAGAGAGTCAGGGGAGAGAGGAGAGTAGTATTCATATTGTGCAATTGTGGAGGCGGAGGAGGAGGAGGAGGAGGAGGAGGAGGAGGAGGAGGAGGAGGAGGGATGATGATCATGCGTGCGGTTGCGACTACCAGGTCAGAACCCATGGGGGGCAGGCGGGGAACCCCATCCAGCAGCAGCCCCACAGGATCGGGCCACGCCCGAACGTCAGTTTGCGGCGCGTGGCCGAGCACCATCGCGGCCCACGTCAAGAGGGAGCCCGTGCCGCTGCCGCGGCGCACCCAGGCGACGCAGAGCAGCACGCAGGTCAGCACCCCTGCCCTGTGCAGAAGACCTCTGGACGGACCGCGGGGCTCCACCCGCCACCTGCCCACGGGCCTCTCCTGGCCACTGCTGGCATGCTGGGCTCCTCGGGCCCGGGGTGCTGCCCCGGGGGCCCTCGGAGCAGCTGACATGCTCCTGCACGTCCGGTCCTCCGCAGGGCCCGCGCCCGCGAGGGCGGCGGGCTGTCGGCTCTCCTCCCGCAGCCTGGCCCCCATGAGAAAAAGCACGTGCGAGCGGCAGCTCTGCTGTACTGGTGGAGGGGGGATCGGGGACGGAGGGAGCGGGGGAAGAAGCACCTGGGCGATGTGGCGGGCGCTGCCTGGGGATTGGGAAGGAGCAGGAGGAGGCTGGGAGGACGGAGGCTGGAGAGGGGAAGCAGTAAGGGACTCCAGGTTGTGTGTTTTGGTTTTTTAGATGCTGTTACAGGGACCAGACAGCAAATATTCACGCAACGTTAGCCTCCTCGCCAAGAGCGCCGTCGACAAAGCGGCTTGGCTCAGGCTTCTCACTAACTGCTCGTGCCCCCGTGTCTTTTCATAGTGTGTGTATGTGTAAATGTGTGTAATGTGTGTGCGTGCGTACGTGCGTACGTGCGTGCGTGCGTGTATGTGCCTCTCTCTCTCTCTCTTCATGTGTTGTGTATATATATATATATATATCTCTCTCTCTCTCTCTCTATCTGCCAGCATGCTTTCGAGATCCTGCAACACTATGTGGATCCGCCTCTCCACGTAGCCCATGGGGGCCGCTGCCTCCTTGTAGTCGACTCCGATGTGGTACTGGTGCCATGTTGGCGTGACTGCTGAAGGCCAACGCCAGCTTCACCTTGCCCTTCTCATGGCAGTCTGCTGACCCCGCCGTCTGGACGACCCCGCCAATTTCGTGCAGCGCGAGCTTGCTCTGCAGCTTTGCCCAGCTCCTCGAGTTGCTGCTGGTTGGTTCTGCCGTCCCTTCTGCCACCAGACGGTGCGAGGGTCTGGTGGCAGAAGTATTCACGCAGACGGTCAAGCCGCATGATCGATGGAAGTGCGCAAAAACGAGACGAAACAGAAGTCGCATGAAAAAGCGGCAAAGACAAATCCACGCTGAATTCACTGCTAGCAGTGGCGACACCAGTACACGCCCGCGTAGCGCGCAGGCGAGTCGGTGCCCATGCCCGTGATCTGCTCCTCCGCCTCGGCCTCGGGGAGAGACGCTCTGTGTGCCTCCGCTGCCCTGGTCCACGCCTCGGTGCGGGCCCGCGCCTTCACTGCCGCCTTCTTCAGCTTCATTGTTGCCTCCAGCTGACAGGATGAATGATGGTGGTGGTGGTGGTGGTGATGCTTATGATGATGATGATGATGATGATGATGATGATGATGATGATGATGATGATGATGATGATGATGATGATGATGATGATGATGATGATGATGACAACGGTGACGGCGACGAGGAGAAGGAGGAGGAGAAGGAGGAGGACGAGGAGGAGGAAGAGGAGGATAAAGGGAGATGGGGGAGGAGGCGCGCTGCCGCATGGGCACACGACCATGCCAGCGCAACACGCGAGCCCAATAATACATGCGCGACTGCTTGGAGGAGGAGGACGACGACTGATAACTTCTTGGGATAAGAAGGGAACAGGGAAACGACAAGGACGACGACGAGCCCAATCAGGATGACGAGAAGGGCGAACATGAGGTCGGGAGCAGGGAGGAGCAGGGGGGAGGACGGGGACGAGGAACACGACGAGGAGGGAGGAGAAAGAAGACGAGGACGACGGCAATCACGGAAGGACGAAGATAGAATTGGAAAAGAAGGGAGATCGAGAACCTCGCGGGAAACGAGGAAGATGCAAGAGAATGGGGAGGGACAAGGGGTGGGAGTATCAAGCTGAAAACGGGATGGAGGAGGAGGCAGCCGCATTCCGTCATTCGCCGCCTCCCTCCCCCTGTCCCCCACGAGATTGGGCCCATCCCCTGTCATCATCATCGTCACCGCCATCATCAGCAGCGTCAACATCATCAGCAACAACATCATCATCATCATCATCATCATCATCATCATCATCATCATCATCATGATCACCATTATCACCATCATCATCACCATTATCACCATCAACATCATCATCACCATCATCACCATCACCATCACCATCACCACCATCACCACCATCACCATCGTCAGCATCGCCAATGTCATCGTCATCGTCATCGTCAAAGCCATTAACATCACCACTATCAGCATCCTCATCCTCATTATCATCCTCTTCATCATCATCATCAGCATCATCATCAGTAGCATCAGCAGCATCAGCACCAGCATCAGCATCAGCATCATCACCATCCCCATCCCCATCCCCATCATCATCAGCAGAAGCGTCAACATCAGCAGTATCATCATCACCATCATCACCATCAGCATCAGCAGCATCACCATCACCATCACCATCGTCATAATCACCAATGTCATCGCCATCGTCATCGTCAAAGCCATCAACATCACCACTATCATCATCCTCATCCTCATCCTCATCCTCAACATCATCCTCCTCATCATCAGCAGCATCAACATCATCAGTAGCATCAACAGCAGCATCGGCACCATCATTATCACCATCATTATCACCATCAGCATCACCCCCACCGTCATCATCACCATCACCATCACCATCATCACCATCACTATCACCATCGTCATCATCGCCAATATCATCGCCATCGTCACCGTCTAAGCCATCGTCATCACCACTATCACCATCCTCATCCTCATCCTCATCCTCAACATGATCCTCCTCATCATCAACAGCAGCATCAACATCATCAGTGGCATCAGCAGCAGCATCAACACCATCATCATCACCACCATCATCACCATCACCATCACCATCACCATCACCATCACCGTCATCATCATCACCATTACCATCACCATCATCACCATCACCATCGTCATCATCGCCAATATCATCGTCATCGTCACCGTCTAAGCCATCAATATCACCACTATCATCATCCTCATCCTCATCCGCACCCTCCTCCGCATCATCATCAGCAGCATCGACATCATCAGTAGCATCAGTAGCATCAGCATCAGCACCATTATCATCACCATCACCATCATCCTCAGCATCATCCTCATCCTCATCCTCGTCCTCATCCTAATCATCCTCCGCACTCTCCTCTTCCTCATCGTAATCACGATCACGATCTCAATCTTCATCTCCATCTTCATCATCATCATCGTCAGATGGCATACAGAGGAGATCGGATAACGCGAGAGGTTCTTTTTCGAGGCGCGCGCGCAGGCGGAGCACGCATATGCACACAAGGCGAAC